AATAACAATTTGCAAACATTTCAAGTTGGATATTCAAGGCACGGAGACCATTATCTGAAACCTTCAGCCCTTCGAACTAATACTGATAGCAATCAAGCCCATTGAAAGGGTCTCAACCGTGAGGCTAGGCAATTCAGCGTTTTGTTGTGCTGTCTGGGAGCTCTCACACAAGCGCACTATTACAGAATCTCCGCTTTCTTTATCCTCCTTCAAAAGGCTTAGTCCCACTACCACAAAGAACGTCTGCTTTTCCTTCTACACTCTCACCCCCTGGTTGACAGAAGCCTTGTAACCCATTGAAAGGGAATTTTGAATTACTCTGATTGATGGATCTCTTCGGAATGGTGAAGAAGCTAGGCGGCTCCTCTGTGCATCATAGTATCCACCTTGCTCAGAAGTTCTCCTTTTTCTTTTCGTTTTCTGTAATTATGCGACTGGTAATAATATCGTTAATATCATTCCTTTATTTGTTATTAGGCACCGGATATCTTAGTGTCGCTTTTCTGAGTTCAGGAAGTTTTGGGGCCGATTACTATGGAAAATCAATATCTCAGAAGGCAGTTTTTGCTCATTAATATTGCGAAATATGTTGCTTATTGTTTTCTATTGTTGGTTCACAATTTAACTTTCCCCCAATTTTTATACTTTTTTTGAAAATTTCCTGGGTCCAGTGTGCAAATTCGCATGTGTGTACCAAATGCTTCAAAGTTCTTGCTGAGAGCTACAATTCCGCCCACCAAACCAACATTGCATTTGTTGGAGGGAATACTACCATTTAAAATGCTCATCGGTTTTTCACAGTTTTCTCAAAAGACAGTGAAGTCTTTGAAGTGATGCCCGCAATCGTCGTCAAAAAGGTGGCCCTAGTTAAATCAGTCGAGACGGGGCTGCACCAGTCTTGTGCTGAAATGGTAGGACACCTTAGCAGTGACTGATCGATGATGCACAAACGCTTTAACGAAGTTGATTGCACAAGAAATTCTAATAAATGTGCTCATCTGCTACTCACGTGTGCTCAAAAAGGGTGCGTTTTTGACCCTATGTGGCAAAAAAGACTCCGGGAAAAATTGTCCAGTTGAGCTGGTAAGTTTTAACTTTTCCACCATACAATACTCTAACTAACTGTATACTTCTTTTGTCCAGGCCTAACTTTTTAGCAAGTGAGAGGGATGATTTGTCAGATGATGTCAAAACCGACCTGCCTCTTTTTTAACTCAAAAAATTCCTAGCTTTAATCGTACGAGGTTTCCACTCATACTGGTAAATGGGAAAATGCTAATGAGTCATTCGATGATATGCTGTTTCACTCCCGGATTTTGAATTAAAATATTGGTGGTCCGAAACTCGTGGTGAAAAAACGACACTAAGATATCCGGTACCTAATACATTTATTCACGAAGTTAAGAAGCCCCGAAAGGGGCGCCGAGGCTCTGTAGCGTCAAGGAATGGATGACTGCATATGCTGATGTGTTTATTCAGTTTCACAGGGTCGGTACCAACCAAACTATCCTGTCGGTGTAATATGTAGGCCCAGTTGACTTGAAGTGAGCTTCTCTTGGGTGTGGATGCGAAATCGACTCCTTAAAACGTTGACTACAGCTAGACGTGCATGCGCGTCAGAATTTAAGCAATGGGACATGGGGTGACAATTCTGAAGCGCTGCGCCGTCAGAATATCGGTATCCATCTTTGCGCACATGTCGAATTTCCAAAAAAAGAATTTGTCAATTGGGAAAAGTATTCTGTAGCCATTTCATTATCAATAACTGTAACTGCAAGTGGTGGTCCAATGGAGGTGTGCGAGTATAGTGCAAGGTTGTTTTTTATCATTCGCTGTTTTAAACTTCATTTTAAAAGCCCCAGAAAAAACATTACCGCTGAGATTGAGGACACGACGGTCGTCCAGAAGACAATTTAAGAGCTGGACAACCACGAGGTCATTTTTTCCATGCCGGCTACGAGTATATGGCTTAGCTTCTGCAAGGTACTGCCCACGAGAAAATCAGAAAAAAAGTCTGAAGTTTTAATGATACAGATCTGGCAGCATTACATTTGTTGTCTGAACCATTTTAGTATTTGAACCCAGCTATCAGTAGTGAGTCATAATCACAAATACAGGAAGGAAGAGAACAAAATTCGAGCAAGGAATCCTTGCTTGTACAAATACTGAACCTAATAGGCGCTTGGGTACATAAGACACCAGCACATAATTATTTATTTATTTATCGTACACTTAGGTTGCGCATCGGTTTAAAAAAAGAACGGCAAGTGTTAGTATACAAGCATAAAGAAGTAAACGCTTACAAAAGATTAGATATTCGAGTCGACTGGACGTGTCACGGAAAATGGAAGTGGGGAGGACAGCCACCGCACTTAGATAAGAGTGCGCAGAAAAGCTTGACTTCCACACGCTTTGCCGACACTATCTATCGCAGGCAGTATATCAACAACATTATCTATCAAGCACCGGTGGGCATGCCACGTCGATTATCACGTGACAGCCCAATAGACTACAATATGTTTGGAAATGTACAGTCGATATCCGAAAGTTGGGGTGGGTGTGTCACCGGAAGTGACGTGCACTTGATAGAAGTGTGGATAAGCTGTTGCCAGCATGCTTTGCTGATAGCCAGCGATGTATGTTGGAAGCAGCTTATCCACATAGTTTCTATCAAGTGCACGTCACTTCCGGTGGCACATGCCCACCCCAACTCACCGATATTTGAAGTATTATGTGTTACCTCGGCTTCAAATAACAGAGAAAATAGTGACAATTCAGAAAGGAATGTGGAATAAAATGGGGCATCGATTCAAGAACATCTTGAGCACAAGTGACACTCCGCAGCTTTCTCTAATGGCCCGTAGACTTGACGCCAGGAGGAATTAGGGAACAAGCGTGGCTGGTAATGGGTCATGCAACATGATTACTAGCGATTTACATCAGCTGGCAAGGCAAAGTTCTTGAAGCAACAGTCCCAGCAGGAGTTTTTACCTTTGATACTAATAGCGTGGAACGTTGCGCTAGCCCTAGTCAAGAGCGTAAGAAGTGTGATTGAACAAAACTCACCTTGGAAAGCCGCTGGAAAAGGAGCTGAACGGCTTCGAAGTGGGCGTGGTTGCTCAGTCGGCTGCAATCCCCTCGGCCGACTTCCAACCCACGCCCACTTCGAAGCTGTTCAGCTCCTTTTCTAGCGGCTTTTCAAGGGTGAGTTTTTTGTTCACTCACACTTTTTATGTTCTTGACTCGATTAACACCCTGGGTTGAAAACCAAAAACCCTGCTGTAAGTGTTGCTTCAAAGGTGGTTATTTCAGAAACTCTAAAATTATTTTCGGTGTTCAACGTTATTTCCATTTCTTCTTTCACATGCGCGTATTAATATCTATACACTCAAAATTTTACAGTTGCAATTCCCCATTTCCCGATCCGACAGTGCATGAGGTCTATTTTCCGGACCGTGTTTTCTACTCGAATACCTGTGAAATCTTGTAAATTTCTGAATTCACTTGGAAACCCGTCCGGAATTTTCGATATTCCTTCACAACCCTTTTTACGTCATGTCATCATTGGAGAATGATTAATCTGATTGGTGCTGTTCTACAGATGTCGGCGACGGACACGGGCTCGGACACACCACTGAACTTTGCGAAGCCGGTGCGGAATGGTGGAAGCTTTGCTAATCCGTCGTCTTTCACGAATTGGACTGGAATACCTGGTCCTTGGAATCTCATAAAATGGAAGTTATTCGACACTGACGAGTCCAACATACCAGATGATGAAGCGGTAGGTGATCTTGCATTTGTGTAGTGTTATTATTGAAAGTGTCATTCAGTTTGTGCAAAAGGATTGTGGGCGCTATCGCAAGTCACGGGGGCATGGTATTAGCAATGCATTAAAAATCGCGCTAGAAATCTCCTTTTTGTTGAAAACGGGACAGAGCCTTAATCCGGGGAGGAGAGGCTCCAGGATGCGTGAGCAGTTTCCCATTTCCCTGAAATTCCTGCCCCTTCCTGGGCTTAGTACCAGAAACTGCCCCCGTTTCTTGCGATAGCGCCAGAATGTGTCTTTTTAAGGTTCTCGACCAGACGCTACCCGTTCATAACATCACAAAATTTGAATCACAATCAAATAGACGAATGTTTGCGACATGGCTTGGACATGCGACTGTTCTTGTACAAATGGAAGGTGTACGGTAAGATCTTCGTCTCTTCGCAAGTTTACGGTAAAACGAATTCGATGCAAATTTTGAGGCCATAGTCGAGATAGCTTTCCAATTTTCCACTTTGATAGTCGCAGTAGCCAAGATCACCATTTCCTAGGTTCATCACTGACCCAATTTGGTCAAAGAGAGCGTCATTTTTGCAGTGGATCGGTCCAAAGCGCTATAGGCCGCCACCTATGAAAATCGAAGATTTACCGCAGGTATGTACCAGTAATTTGAAATGACTGAGCAAAAACAACGGACGAAAATTTGTGGAAAATATCTGCCTAGCTGCCCAGAAAAAAGACGTTGTGAATATGTTGCAGCTACACGACCCCATCTTAAATGCTGAGGTCAGCCGGCTGGGTAAGACCTGTACCTTGTACTCCTGTAGAGTCATGGCTGAATTCTCCAGAGAAAGCTCTTCGAGCGGAAGGCAGAGAGAAGCTGAAATTTTGTACAGTAAAAATAGCAAAATTCTAACTTTGCCGAAAATCAACGGATTTGCTTGAGGGTTCCTGTACACTTTCTTAATCTCTGTTCAAAACTTCTAAACCCTAAGGTGATCCCATTATTACTCCTTCCAAAAGGTATTGTAGATCTCCCAGTGTAGCACCATTCTCAAAACATCAAATACGACCCCTCTCCTTCCAGTCAAGGAGCCAAAGGTAAGAGCTGGCGAATAGCCAAGCCAAGTCCTCAGATAAGTAAAACGTTACTAGAGGTTTAGAATTTTCAAATTCAAATGAGCAGAAGTGCAAGAAAAATTGAACACAAGATTTCTAGCTCTCACTAATATGTTTGCTTTCTCACGATCCTTTCTGGTATACCGCGGGGTTTTGTCATGTTTTCTCGAAGATTTGGCTTGAAGATACGTAAAAATTGAAAATATCTGGATCTGTTACGTCGTGCTTATTTGCCTAGTGCACGATCACTACGACCACTGGATGGGATGCGGTCACGAAGATCACAGTTACAGTTAGAAAAATTATATATAGTAGGATAGGTTTGAAAATAACGCTATAGCTAAAGAACGAAAGAAGTGATCTGAGAATAATGTGAAGAGTTTTTCGAGGAGGGCTGGAGAAAGGGCAGATCATTTCAAGGCCGTCAATCCGTATCAGCCTTCGTAATAACTTCGTATAGCATAGCTCGATAGGAGAAAGTTCATATGCAAATTTAGGCACTCTCGGGACCCGAAAAACCCGTAGCAAAAGCGCCGACATCTTATGGTTTGGGACTCCAACTTCCTTACAGAGATCTCGCCAGCCACCTTAGCGAATATGTTGGTGGCTGTGCCTTGCGCGTCTCTATCCTCTGCTTGGACCGTCCTCTCTATATCCCAAGAAGCCTAAAAGCTCCACTTCTAGTTTCACAAGAATGCTGGGTTGTGAACAAAACTTTCGCCCCAGGCGGGACTAGAACCCGCACCTCTCGCTACCAGTTACGCTAACGGGTAGCGCACTTGCCCGGAAAGCGAGAGGTGCGGGTTCTAGTCCCGCCTGGGGCGAAAGTTTTGTTCACAACCCAGCATTCTTGTGAAACATTCGCAACGCGAACTGCGGCGTTAAAACAGCAGTTAACAAACAAAACAAGTCAAATTCATGCTATTTTGAGCTCTTCCTTTTGTTTCCTCACTTGGTGGTGCACTTTGACACCTGTTTCAATTTCAACCGATAATTAACGCTGAGTACATTTAAAAGGATTTGTTTGAGCTTCAATCCGTCAATGCGATGGTTCGTGCCGCTGGGCATGCAAGATTGGTTGAAGACAATCGGGATAAAGAACACATCGGAACATCCGGACAAGGTCACCGAAATGGAGTGGTAAGTCCGAAGTTCACAATTTCGGTTATGATCCTCCCTTTACGAAGACCGAAGTTTTAGGGGCGAAAACAAATCCTTCAAAGCAAACGACACAGAGGTAGCAGTTTGGTGTGTACCCGCTCAACACTGGGGACAGAGAGGAGCTTTCGATAGAAATGAGGTCAGTGAACACTGATGATTACTCTCGAAAACAATGTCCAGGCGAGAAATCTGCCTTACTTTTAATTTGGACGATGACTGTTTCACCAGAAGCCATAGAAAATACCCTAAACAGAACGAAGTGTTTCTGAAATTGAAATTTTTCCGAAGGGTGGACATCTTAGACAGCCTCCCTCCGTACGAGTGGAAATCTGATAGAAGAGTAGCCTCAACGGTATAAGGGCACTAGGGTTGAAAACGGGGGGGCTCTGTCTGAGTTTAAATTACCGCATGGGAGTATTTTCTATCATAAATTGCCAGTCTTCGTAATGATGACATCGTGGATTCGTTATATGCTTAAAGCAGTGATTCAAGATGGATGAGAAGCGGCTCGGTTTGGTGAATCATTGAAAGTCATTGGTGGCTTTCACCGATATCTTTCAATAAATGGCGTTAAGAGGCAGTCCTAACCACTCTTCCAGCGCGCCGAGCGGTAAAGACCACCAATAGCGTTAAGTGACGTCATCGGAACCGCACCGCTGTCCACCCATTGCGATGGTTGCCTCTGAGGTCACATCTTACATTGTGGACATGGCCTCTAATTAGACTTTTCTTTTAATGAAAACTACTTTTTAATGAAACTAGTATCTCCAACAGTAACTGCGTTAAGCGATTATGGTCAGGATGGGCAGTGATGACGCCGAATCGTCGGTTCTACTACAGTGGTGACACTGGATTTTGTGAGACGGAGTTCAAGAAGATTGGCGATCAACTCGGTCCCTTCGATCTCGCTGCAATCCCTATTGGTGCATATAAACCACGGTGCGTTTCTATCTGTGAATAATCGAGTTTGAAGCAGAACGCTGACACTGCATTACCTTTTTGGGATGCACCACAGCCGCGAATCAAAACTACAGCAGTAGAGAGCGTAGCTGCTCCAATATGCAGTACTTTGGAAGGCGTGCTCTGTTGTCGCCCCTTGCCCGAGTCTTAGGTACCAGTACCTTTCGACCAGCTGCCAAGGGATGGGAGGTTTGGCTTGCATCACTCCGGTGGAACGACATGGTACGTACATTTATCATGAAGAGCACGGAGCGCTTTTTTGAAAGTTTATTGCATGCTTCAGAAGCACCCATGAAAATGAGATATTTATTTCTGACAGCCTTGGTAATCCTATAGAAGTTTCGGGAATTTCCTTTTAGCAACCTCATTTTTTGCAACTTTAATTTACTATCTAGTATTTAGCGTTGAATAGTTGCGCATTAGAAGCTCAGGGAAAGGTTCGGACTGAAATGAGCAGATGAAAACAAAATTTTTATTACCGATAAATACAATTTCAATATTTTTCAAACCACATCTAACAAGGAAACTCGTTCAGGACGTGGAGCGATTTTTCAAAACGGTTTTTTCATGTTTAGGGGCATTTGGCGGAGCAAAGTCGGTGATAATCTTTTCTGGGCAGCCTTGGGATTGTAGGAGGAAGGGCAGAAAACTTCCACCTATATGGCAAGAGATGAAACTCTTAAATTTTCAGTACACCCTACAGCATTTGCTGCATTAAATACTTGCTGGGATTTTTGTTCAGTGAATGAGTTTAGACACTGTGAAGGACGAATTGAAAGTGGAAAATTTGTCTTTCAAGTGGGGATCGAACCACACAGCGCTTGTATCTTTCAGCATTTTCAGGCAACCAAAACACAGTCCTAACAAAAAATGGCGCTATCACTTTTATCAAATCGCTTTCCCTAGACAAAAAAACTTCGAATGCTGTCCCGTCCTGGAACATTTCCCTGCTAACCAGGGAATGTTTTTGACCTTCCGCCAGGAACCTGAACGGAAAGACTAGGTACATTCCGATTTGTGGACTCTATCGGTACCCACCCCCCCGTTGCGCGGCAAAAAGAAGCAGTCGCCGGGCCGAGTGGCAGACGTGGTGTACGATGTGGGACGTGAAGTGGGACACTCTATTTAGGTTGAGCGAAATCCCTATAGTACGCACGCTACTCGTCCACTGACTTTGCCTTCTTGCCGCGCGACGGGCCTTCTTGGGGGTACTCACGTTAGGAAGAAGCAGACGTCATCTATGGCCAGGCTAAATCACACTAAAAGCATCGGGCCAGTGGCGCAATGGTAGTGCTCTCGCTCGCTCTGTAAGCGGCGTTGTGTCATCGGTCCTGCTCTCGACCGAGGTCGAGATTTTTGCACTAATTGTTTTCCAATACGAACTGTCCTTCCGTGTTTTCCAGCATCCAGCAAAGATCCATCATTCCGCCTTTCACTACTCATGCCAAAACAGGCCGCCTTCTCGAGGCGGAGTTCGAATGTTTTGATGCGGGAGAACAATGAACTTGGCTGCCAATCTTATTTGATTTCATGTTCATAATCACTGTCTTTCATTCCGTACAGCGTATTCCGAAACTTGCGCTGGAAGTCGATTCACCTGAAGACAGCAAGTCCAAACTCGCAAGAAAAGGATGCTTGCAGCGCTTCATTGGCTATTCTCCATGATGGAGTCCTATAGTTTATGGATAAGCTACCGCACCTTCGAGAAGCGTAGATGACAAGCGTAAATGGGAACCGTTACCAGATCTCAATGGTATAGATGTCAAAAAACTGGAAGCAACCACCCCTTCTGGGATATTAAACACCAAGTGCAAAATATTGCCCCGGTTCGAGAGCAAACCCCACGACGCAGGCTGGAAAGCGAGACCACTACCACTGCACCTGGCACCATGCTGCGGTGTGGTTAGGTGTTCTCATAAGATGGCGTCGGTTTCCTGCCGAACTGTTGAAGGCTCACAACTTTCTTAGAAAGTTCAGGTAGCAGTTTTAGTGTATTTATTCGTAATCAGCGTCGAAACTCTATCGATGTACCTAGGCCTTCCTTCAAAGTTCCATGGGAAGTCCAAAACATTCCCTTGTAAGAGATCGAAAAATGGCTACGCTAAACCTTTGCCTTCTAGTCCTACATATTCCACAAGTATTAAGTGTAAAATCTGTTTAGTTTCGCAAATTTCTATTCCCAGATGGATTGAATGAATCGCGCACGATCGACGTCGCCGCAAGAAAGCGGGGCCGTACATGAGCTTGTTAACTCAAAATGTTCTCGGATCGGGCGTACATTGGGAACATACCATATGGGATCAACATGAAGGTATAAATTGCATATATAGTAAAAGAATTCCGGTAAGCGGAATTTCATTGCTGAGAGTGAAAATTAGTGTCCCAAACTGCTCGACAAAATCTTGAAGCTATAACTCATCAGTTTAAAAGCCTTTTCATTGGATTTGCGGTAATAGGTAACTTTTGCAGTCAAAACCATCAGGATGAATTCTGCGAAATTAGCAAAATTTTCAGCATTACCTCGAACCAAAGAAGCTCCTGGAAGAAATCATGAGCAAGTCCAACCTCTCCTCAAAATTCGTTACCCTCGAGATGGGACGGATTTGGGAAGAAGATGAAGGCGAAGACAGTGCAAGTCATTAAACACGAAATGTAATTACTTTTTCGATCTACAACTGAATAAATCATTTGTGTACAATTGAGAGCAGCTTTACCCACTTATTCCCACGAGATCAATTCCAATCGAGGTTTTTTCTCCTGTGCTTGGTCGTCTCCTACTGCGGCTTCACGTTCTCGCATTCGTTGTTGCAACAATTCGTAATACGTCGGTTTCCTTTCTTTTTTTGACAGCATCGTCACTGATCGAGCGAACATCCCCGCTTGCAGACGACGTGTTCGTCTTCTGAAATAAAGAACGCTTCCAGAGTCTGCAGGAATCACGAAAACGTTGAAAGAAACAGAATTCGTACCATTCCTTCCGCACTTTCCGCACCATCTTCATCCTCTACTGTTTCAACCTTTACCGACTGATCTATTACTGGGTCTTCCATTTCGAGCTCGATCTCTCCATCAGGAGTGAAGAAGCCAACGTCCTCCAGGTTCCTCGATGGGTGAGCCATTCGCTTCATTCTGAATGACGCATTTTCAATCGTGATCCTCTTGCTCTTCTCACCTACACCATGATCTCGACCAGCAACCGCACCATCTTCCAACAATCGCGTGATCGCAATGATGCGCCATCACGAGCTTCTTGAACGGTGGTCCAGTTTAACCCAAAAATCTCGGCTCAAAATCAGATGTCAATTTAGCACTTTAATTGGAGCACGTTAGGTGAGTAGGTCGTGTTCCAATATACCGCAGTCAAAGCCGTAAAATAGCAATTTAAAAAATTACTAACGATATTTCGATATCTCCTTCACAGAGCTGGTATGCAAGCCGATTAATCAAATCGGTAAGTACACGAGCGCTAAAGTCCTGGCCATATAACTTTCTTTGCAAACCTGAATATGAACGGTACAAATGCTTTTCAATGAATTCATTATAGAGAACTAATTTTCCTAAACAAACACTGCGAATCTAGTCTTGAACTGAATGAACTGGCAATGCCTACACTTGCCTCTATTCAACTCCATCCTTATCTGTATTGTGATCTGCAATATCTCCTTGCAATGGGATTCGCGACTGAAAGTCATCTCCACAAATTCGTCCACCAAGACTGATTTCCAGTCGTCACAAATTACCTAGAATGCATTTTCATGGGGACATTCATTCAAGATAATCGGTAGGAAACTGGGCACACTTCAGTAACAGCTTTGGAAATACAGGCTGAAAACAAAATTAAAATAGGGATAAAACCAACAAAAATAACCCGAGCTATCAATCCTCACTGCCTTTCATTAATATTCCAATAAGAACAGTTAGCAAATTATATACGCAACCCATATACCAACCTTCTTCGCGAATAATAAGAGATTGAGTGCAGGTAGAGGAAGAACATTGCAAATATACGGTTTTGTAGTTTCCAACAGCAGCCCATAAAACAAGATTTTGTGGCGCACTGACCGCCCTTCACTATCAGCATGAGGTTCAAGTGTTTCTGTAATAAAAAAACAGTAACGAATTCACAAAATTGGAAGCAGCATAAGAGCTGTGGACCAATTATGTGTTTTCTTTTTCTTGCAAAGCTAAACGGAGAGCACAAGAGCAAAGCTCCGAAAGCTAGTTGCGCACCCCGAAGCCTATGGGAGGACCATTCCTGATAACTACCCGTAATCAGCTGTCAGGGGACGACGCTATAGACGTGTTTGGTCTAACGGCGACTAAACGGCTTTTGTCCTTTTTTATATCGTTAAACCTCGCCGAATGAATCATGAGAGGAGCTGAAAGAATGCTTTACCTGCATGATATTGCGCCATTGTTGAATTGGGATGAATTAGGGTGAACGGTTTCCATTCTAGTATGCACAAACATTTCCTGGCCATGCTAAATATGAAGATCATTAAACCGCAAATTATTCGACTTCTAGATCTCTCTTCGATACTTGAACGCACCTGATACTTGTTCAAAGGATCTGGGAACGTGTAATTTGGATATAATCCAGCAGCAATAATGATTCGAATAACCTGGGAAAAAAGTTGAGTTAGATTTTGGAAGACTACAATTGTCAACTGATCACGCACCTCCGCATCTTTTCGGCGCAACTTGTGAGTTCGGCGAATTTTTTCGACATCCCTTTGCTTATAGCTCAGCAGGAATTCGACTGTCTTCACATCAGCTTTCATGGGATCCTTTTCGTTCTCTGTAAGGCCCACACTGCAGCCATCAATATTGCAATAACATCTAAGATAAACTACCAAGATCTTCCTCTTCTACGTCATTGAGGATCGAATCGAAATGCTTGTCCGCACGCAGCACTTTCCTGGTCTTCTCCTGGTTTCTGAAACATAGAAACTTTTCTTTTTTGTTTCGTATTTGATAGGCCTTATTTCAATGAACTACCTGGCTTCGCGCTTCATATCGAGGAGCTTCTTCTTATCTCCTTGGTCAATTCTTCTTTGACGTGAGTCATCTTCTCCCAGCTCATGCGCATCGGGCCTCTCAATCAGCCCAGCGTCTTCGAGAATCTGCCTAATAACACTTATAAATTGCACACTGTCAAACTGGAAGCGACCTTAATGTATTCAATAGCTCTATAGTTTCCTTTCCTGTTTCTAGCTCATGCCAGTACTCAAAGTTTACCTGTATTGGAACCTCAGCTTGCTGATTTCGTACATTCTATGTTCATCGATGCCATTTTCTAGCGCCCACCGACGAGCCTTGCCAACAGTACATTTCTGCAGCATCCATTCTCTATAAAGTATTTGGTCGCCACAGTAACAGATAGCAAGGGACCCAAAAGAAACTAGATGAATCACATGGAAAGGCGGCTAACGGAGACGACGATAGAAAGATCGGTGATAAAATCAATAAATCAAAGTATGTGAATAAAGTGAAAAATTCATGCAAATATGTAAAGGCAACGCGTATAGAAACAGACCTGAATATCTCTATAAGCGTGAAGGGATCACCCATGGAATTTGTCAAACCTTCTCTTCTCTGAACCACATCGAGTTCCCTGAATTAATAGAGCAATTTCAGGGTTGGCTATAAGTGATTACATGCTTCAGTGAGGCCGGTCAATGCGATTTGCAGAAGCTCACCGATAAGACCGATTGGTGAAAGGACTTTGTACAGACAAACCGGCTGCAACTGTGAGGATCACCTCTACGTGATCTACCACACAACCCAAAACGAGCATCTGAAACTGGCATTTGAGAAGGGAATTCCAAACTTTCCAGCTCCCAAAAAATGAGGGTTATTAGCATCTAAGTTACCTTCGCTATAGCTACGTCTACTGGTAGTTTGGCGATCGTACTTCCCAGAGCAGTGAGCTGGTTGTCGCGGTCCGGATATAGCACGCCCTACAAAAACACTTGAACATGTGCACTGAGAATAGGTCGCTCACGTCAAGTAACAAGTCTTGAAAAACAAATAAAAAGTCACAATCAAAGAACCTGAAACTTGAGTATATTCAGTGCTTCATTGAGTTTCTCCTCCTCCGGCCTTTCAATGAAGGGAAACGTTCGCGGATCCACTGAAAGGTAAGAGATGCAGAATCAGTGATTTTGGGAATGATGCAAGGAAAAAAGTAACTAGGTTAAAAAAGTCGGAGCTTTGGGCTAATCTGGCTCTTTGTAAAGGAAAAATTTTACAAGAACTTTTCGTATTTTCGAGGATTTTGAGCTTTTTTTTTCATTCGGATGACGTTAAAGTTCTCTTCTCCTGTACACGATGAGGAAAAGAGAACCTTAACTCTACATGTTAACATATATAAACATTTAATGTAAAGCAGCCCTAATTCAGCCCTAATTACTCCCCTCAATAGGTCACTATAGAACTAAAAGACATTTGGAACTATATTTCATGTTTATATTTCAAGGAATGTAAATGACGAACGTCCAAGATTTAGACTTATCATCCGGAGAGCCATCTCTTGCAAGGAAACGCGATTGATTTCTGATGTTGTGAAGTCATCCATTTTATTATATTGCTCCTCAGAATACAAACGATAACATATACCCGGTCCTGTACGTCCAGCACGGCCTAAAATACTCAAACAATGCTTTCAAAATGCAGAGTTTCGCAACAATACTTATTCTTGAAAAAGGGATGATCAGATCACTGATAATGAAAATGTGTAAGTTTCCCCGTTGGGTAGGAAAAAAAAGTCAGAATTTGAAACGTTATGGGATGGGGTGAAATGATCCTAGCAGTTTTTTTAGAAAATCAATACCTTTGCGCTGATCGGCTGAAGCCTTTGATACCCAGAACTCACTCAGCTTCTGAGTTCCGCTACCAGTTTCATGTTTAATCAAGTTTACCTAAATAAGAGTTATAAGAGTAGTACAAAACAAATGAAAATGATCACACAGAAGGGCGTACCTTTCCAGAATCTATCACAAAACGTATTCCGTCATAGTCACCGATGTCTCAGCAATATTGGTTGAAAGGATACATTTCTTACATTTGGCGGAGCTACGTCGAACACCTTATCTTGTTCGTCTACCGACAATGTGCTTGAATAATCAGTTTGCTGAGATTATCCAATAAATTACAGTTTTTCAATTGGCCGTATTCATACGTAATTGCCATTGACTTTATGTCGTGCACGCCATGCCATCGCGATATCACCTCGCGATAAAACAAAAAAAAACGCAATCTTTTCCAAGGCACTGGCCTAGTGCGGTCCTTGAAGCTAAGACGGCCACCACATCGGAACAGAATTGAGAAATATAATACGGAGGAAACTCAGCTGACTGCTGGCAGCATAAGGATACACCCACCCCTCTTTGAGTTCTGCGTAGGGTCCCTTTAGCTTCAGCTACAGTAGTTATTTCAGCTACTCCATTCAAAAACACGAGAGCATCGCCGCGTTCCGTACAGGGGAACTGTTTGTCAATGAGCTTGAAAACATGTTTTCAGATTGTACGCCTAAACATTTAAAATAGAATGAACAGACCTCGAGAATTCTAACATACGGCTCCGGATCGATCTTATGACTTTTCTTTTCATTGTCGGGTATATACTGTTTGATCGGGTGATATCGAAGTTGAATAGGAAAAAGACGCCCTGGAACCTAAATGTGGTATGTTATAGAATTTTGAAAGGAAGAAAATAAATTACCCAACCTTTTTGAATAGATCCTCCGGCGTCATGACGCCGCTTGAAGGGGAGTGGTTGGGGGGGGGGGACAGAGATGAAGCGTGGAGGCTGTTCACAATAAACGTTAACAAGCAAAAGGAAAGAAAATTACAGCTACATTCACATATTATATGTGATGACGAACAATTATTTGAGAATCAGCAGGAGACTTCCAGTGGCGCTAGCAAACTGGAACATGCCCATAATTCAGATAATCTTGAAAGATCACCTGAATAACAGGGGCTCCTTCGAAGTAATTCTTGAACAACTCCAAGTTGATAGTCGCAGACATGAGTATGAGCTTTAAGATCATCTCGCTTTCCGATCAAATCACGGAGGAGCCCAATCAGCAAATCACTACTCAAATGACGCTCATGAACCTCATCAAGTATTACTACCTGGAATAAAAAACACACAACATACATCTTGTCTGCTTTCAAACCTTTTCTCAATGTGAACCGGTAAATTTCATAAACAACAAAGACGTGATTCCCTTACATTATACTGCTGAAGGAGAGAATCGTTTTCCATCTGACGGAGCAGTAAGCCTTCCGTCAGAAAGAGCATTTTTGTCCTCTTAGACTTCGTGGTCTCAAACCTAAAGAAGGAAGATGTATGCCTTCACAAACACACCCTCACAAACAGCTTAGCAACAGCATAGGCTCCAGAAATATTGAAAAGACAACCTACTCCTATTATCTCATTGCTTACCGTATTTGATAAGCTACTTCACTTCCGTATGCATTGAGCGTTTCGTAAGCAACTCGACGAGCTAATGCGGTACAAGCGATTCGACGAGGTTGTGTACAAGCTATACCAGCGTAACCATTTTGAAGAAGATATTGGGGAACCTCAAGATAGCAAGTAAAGAAAAAGAAAACTAGCGGAGCAAAAGATAAATAAAAGGAAATAGGCCCAAATGCTAACGACATGCGATAATGTCACTTTGAGAACAAGCTGTTTTCTCGTTTTGATGCCTACCCAAACAGCGAAAATAATAATTGTGAAGGCAATCTTACCTGAGTACTTTTTCCGCATCCAGTGTCACCAGCTATTATGAGAACTTGGTTCTGGAAGGACGAACTTATACAGATTTAAGAAAAGACAAGCAAGGTTAACGACAACAGAAAAGTAGAACCCACATCACGCAAAAGCTGCAATATCTCTTGCTTTCTTTCTGCAATAGGTTCCGTTGCGATTCCTTCCGGAAGCTCCTTCCCTCCCCGTTTGAAATCTTCAAGGTCATTGACAAAATCCATGATAATTGGCACGCATATTCAAATGCGAATCGTCCATGGAGGGATCTTAAATGAGATGTAAGTGTCCGCGATAGCATTCAAAAGCGAAAGTCTAAGAATAACCCACATGAAGCTGAAGATGGCTAGGTGGTCTTGAACACTTCTTTGCCACGCGAAGACAAAGTATCGCTTGCTAATATCTTGAGGAATTCCATAGTCATCACATTTGAGCCGTTTCAAATCGAAATGATCTTTGCTCTCACCACCCATTTCTTGAAAAAAAAATTAGTTTACTAGAGAGATGGAGGAAATGAGAAATGAGGTAACCGCGAAAAATCGACCGCTTACCGCAGAAAACGATTGAAATAGTTGTTTATGAAACGTTTCTGAGTTTCCAAGCTTTCTTGACTGGCATCTTTGTTGTCCTGAAATATCTCCAGTAGTTTTAAATAAGTTGATTAGACCAATTCAAATGATCAAAAGTACAAAATTTCACGAATCCAAAATAAACAAAGGCAAATAACCTCGTTCTGGGCCTCGAGATGATCCTTCAGTAGCAGAACATCCCAGATAGTGATTGAATAGCACATTCTTAAAACTGTCATATTCTTGCCCCGACAATGAATACATGCATGTGTAGATCCTTCAATTTCTGTGAAAGCGCGCCATCCGTTGAAAATTGTGCAAATGTGCGTAAATTTGAGGAATGCCATACAAGAGAGCGGGAGACTGAATGTTGCTACCGCGCACAAAAGTCCCTCCTTCAACGTACAACAAAGCGCTGGATCAAGCCGAAACTTTTGGTTGACACGCTGCCCCTGTGGCCTAGTTCTACGGCGTTGACATTTGTAACTGATGATCACAGGCGGGGCTCGTGATGAAAGGAAATGGGAAGACTAATCAATTCATAACTAGCACAGCTCCGAATATTGTACTGAGTCGAGCCATGCATTTCTCCTTTCAGATAGGTGACGGGTACCGAGAGATGCTCTACATATCGTTGGAAAACCATTGCGCGCCTGGAAACCACTCTAATTCCTCATGTCATTTACTTCTTAACATGCAAAATAGGGTAATGTGCTAGCGTATTTATAATGTTCCGCACTAGAACAATCATTGATGCCATTATGCATTGTACAGTGCAGTGAGGGATTCGAGGGGACGAAGTTCGCTTGGTACCTGAGGGAAGAGAGTTCTAATTCGTGAGATAGTTTTCATCATGAACTGCTTAGTAGTTGCGTCTCACGGCCACCTTGTTTTCGAGTTGTTAGTTGATTTATTAGCACTTGTAGATATTTCCATAGACATAGAAATCTGATACGGAGGTATCCTTGTGAGGATGACTTGTGCTGAAAGTGAGAGCGCATACTTGTAGATGATAGGCCATGGGATATGTTCATTCTTTCTGTAAAAGATGCCGTAAAATGTAATTCAGTTCCATTGGAGATAATCCGCTTACAGGAGCGTTTGCGTTACTGTTGCGAATCAATTTCTTGAGGCGCTAGTGTACTCAAAAGGGGCATGCCCACGCTGACTGAGCCTTGGAGAAGAGGGTGAACTTTGAGGGTAATGAAAACTGCTTACACATCCCCCTAGACTCAAAGCCTAGTACTAAGGGGGACCAGCAGGGGGGTGGGGAAGAGATGGCTTGGCGCTTTTATTCGCCAACCTTGTGTGGGATTTTACAGCTTCTGCGTTGGAAGATAATAGCAGTTCTTTACGTAAGCTGTGAGCAAAAGCTTAACTATTGCGCTATAATGGGAAAACTGTTCTTCCACGATTCCAATCATTTTGCATTAAATGTTATGTTCAGTGTTCGCTTCCACTTTTGCTGGATAGGAGATAGGAATTTTTTGATCTGATGTCCACTACCACAAATATTCACTGCTGACATCTCGAAGATATATGCAAAAAACTGCTAGACTAGATATAAGTCATCTAGTCTTATTATTTCCTCTCATCACAAGTTCTACCCGTAGTTATTCAATCGAAAACAGGGTGCCAACGATAGCGGAACTAGCCGTGAGAGTACTGTAATCGCCTGCTGTACGCAATCGCACGGGCGCAGGGTGGGATAAATACGTAACATCGTTTTTGTACGCATCGTATCAGTTGTAATTAGTGACAAATGATAGAATACAACTGCAACAGACCAATCATTTCATTGGTAGAAAACACTAACATTTCCTGGTGGCCGTCGTCGCTTGTGGTGTATGGTCTGTACCCGACACTTTCTCACTTTTTTGAAAGGATATACTTCATGGCCCTGGACCGGAGGTAAGATGTGCCGGTTGCCTACTATGGTGGCCGCTGCGATAGGATCTACGTACAACATAGCGAATATAAATAGTGGAAAGAGGAATAGTGTTTCAGTTTAGCAGATGTTCACAAAGCGGAAGTGATGTAGCGGAAGGGGCGCTGCCTACCATGTGCACAGTCGGGCGATAAATCCTGCAGTACACGCCGACTAGGCCAAAAGTGAGAGCATTTAGACTCCGACATTTATGAAGCGAACAAGCTCATGCCTCCAAACGGAACGAAGTCCAGCGCGCGACAGTGTCCACTGCGAGCCGTTGTTGGCCTCGCTCATTCTTTAAACAGTTCTGCGGCCTGTTGCACCCGCCCTTCCGTACCACAAGTCCTACACGCCGAGAAGAGAGGGCCATATCGCGGGTTGCTTTTGCACTCATTTCATTCAAACAAGAACAAAAAAATCTCAGGCCGTCAGCAGCCTCCATAACTCGACCGTAGCGACTACGTTTGTTATTCCAATATGAAATAGGAAGCAGACTTTGGCAGTCGGATCAGCGACACCGTTTCAATAAACCAATTCCTGTTACTTTCCTTCTCTCCCCCTACCTTTGACACACAACCTGTGCATCAGCTCCGCTGCCACCATACCCAGACTAATCGCAAAAAAGGGGTATCTTTAGGACCAAGCTTAGAGGGTGAATTCCCGGAGGAAAACGAAAAATCGCCCACGCACCATGGACCCTCCTCCCCTGTTTAAGACTTGATCAAGGAAAGCCTCCAAGGTCGCCATGGCCATTCAGAAGAGATGTATACGTCTAGATGTGCCTTCAAACGCTGATCTCAAATCTACCTTCCAAATCTGCTAAACGATTCTCTAAACGGAGTTATGAAGCAAAACAGCGCAACGGTAGTGGTCGGGATTCACAGTCAAAACGTCGTAGGATCGTACCTTGGTTTACTGCGTCGCTTTCGTAAGGAATTCAGCTATTTAGGTTACTAAGAGCGGCCTAGCTGTATTCCTAAGGAATGGAAAACAGTAAACACGATAAGGGACCGATCCTACGACGATTTGACTGTCAATCCCGACCACTACCGTTGCGCTGTTTTGCTTCATAACTCCGCTTAGAGAATCGTTTAGCAGATTTGGAGGATAAGATCAGCGAACGAAGGCACATCTAGACGTGTACATATCTTCTGGAATGGCCATGGCGAACTGGGAGCCTTTCCTTGTTAGTAATGCTTTGAAAAAATGAGATGTCGTAGGGGGCTTTTACAATAAGTGCATTGCCGCAACAATGATCCCGTATCTTGCGATAGCTCCACTCCCTATCCCTTGCGACATGCAGCAGAATGGATCAGTTGAACAAACAAGACCACTATCAAAAGTATAAATACCGTCTACTGCACGATTTATAGAACTCTGAACACGGTGAGGCTGTTGGCGGTCGTCTATGCTTAGCACGCCGGATTCTATCCAGCCGGATTCTGTCCAACCGGATGGGATCGTTTCCGCGGAACAGACCTTTCCCGTACCACTAATCTGCTCGAATGACAAAATCTCCGCTACTGCAGGTAAGCTCCTACTACACCATGAAGCCGAAAGTTCTAACCCATAATTCCAGCGGCTCGAGCATCATTCACTAACCGGCATAGCCATACTCGTCGTAGCGACACCATTGTGCGCAGTGATGGCAATTCTACCATCGAAGCAGCTTACTCACCAAAATATCGGTGAGTTTCCAAGATGCGTCAAAGCTCCAAGAAAACTCACTGAAACTTAGAAAGGCCGGATTCCGTCCAGCACAGAAAACGTCGGTTTTGGGTGCATTGTTCATGCAGGAGGGGGGGGGGGTGGACATCCAAGTGAGTAAGGCAATTACTGTGCTTGCGACTATGCCTTTGGGGGAGCTTGTGTCGAATTGCGTTCTCCCTGGCGTTTCTCCTCTGTGCTGGGCTTAGTCCTGGTCTCACCTACCGTCGGTACTGTTCCGAATGTCCCACTCGAGGACATGAGCGCTATGACTAATATCGCTCCTACTGTAGCAATAGTGCTAGGTTGTTACGACCGTTCCCCCGACAGCAGCCGAAACTTCCCTTTTCCTTGCCACAGGCATTCCTCTCGTCCTTACTTCCGACATCAGCACACTGACAAGTGGATGTATATGGAGAAAATGGGTGTTTCTACTATTGGAGATGGGCGTTGTTATGATCACAGCTTTACATTGAACTGATACGTTTGGCCCTGATTTGGTTCCCAGTTTTGTGAGCGGTTGATTTTTCCTTTCACTACCCTCACCTTCGAGCGCAAGTCGGCTTCAACAATGGCAAGTTCAACCGTCAAACACCTTTTATGGTATAATCGGGACTATGGAATGGGATTCTGCGTGCACGTTCAATTTCTACTTTCCCAGCTTCTAAGATTTTCTACTTCTATTTCTTTCTACATTTCTACTTCTAAGATTAAAATTAGTCCTAAGCTTAGTCGTAGAGGATGTCTCGAATTTTGCCATAGCGCCATGGTTCATATTTTGGAAGTAGGGTCATCAATCACTATTTTGACGTCGGTGTTGGTTTATGGGTCCCTCTTACAGTTGGAAAATTGCGCGGGAGTCATGGTAAGGGTAAGTCATGGCATGGAGAAGAACGACCGCTTTCTGAACTAGCAAACAATTCGAACTGTGGTATCAATGCTATGAGATGCTGAAGTTAATTAGTTCATTCCCAGCTACTCCTAGATGTTACCGGCTTGCATATGAAAGCAAGCAGTTACTGAAAAGGTGCAGCGCACACAAAGGAAAAACCCACAACTGTGGCAAGAAGAAACTGATTACTTTGCAAATCGGTTGAG